TTTCTCCTCCTCTACATGTGTGACACATGCTAAAATAGAAGTAAATGATTTAATTTTTTGAAGAAAGTTCATATCTCTCTCTATCATAACAGCGGCCTCTTTCTCTATTTTTTCTATTTTTTTTCTCTTTTCTTTTTTAATTCCTTATTTTATTTTAACTTATATTTATTATTATTATTGCTATTATATTATTATAAATTAATTATTATGGTTATTACTAATTATATTTATTATTATATATTATTATTAAAGTTTAGTGTTTATTATTATTACTAATATTTTATTAATTAATTACTATATTATTGTTATTTATTATTAATTATTATTGTAGATATTTATTTAAATTAATATTGTTATTAGTTATTATTATTAATTATAATCATTTATTTATTACCAAATTTAATATTGTTTATTTTTGTTTTTATTTATTTTATCTTATTATCTTATGATTATTGTTTGTATTTTTTATTATTGATTATTATTTTTGTTGTTATTATTCATTTTTATTATTATTATATTTATTTATTTTCCATTTATTTTATCTTTAAACTATTAAGAAGAAATTCAATTTTCGGTCCCTTCGATTTTTCACAGATGCACTGCAGTTTTGGAATTAAAATCCGATTTAATTTTAGAAACTGCTTAAATGCATAGAGTCTTGTTAACCGGGCTCAGATATGGTTGATTCCTACATAAATCACCTTACGATTATTTAACATAGCACTAAATTCTTTAATTTGTTTATTTGTAAAAATATATTTTGAACACATCGGTTTTTCATAGATGTAATGTAGTTTCGGAATTAAAATCTGGTTTAGTTTCAGAAACCACTTAAATGCATAGAGTCTTACTGACTGGCCTCAGGTAGGGTTGATTCCTACATGAATCGTCTTACGATTGCTTAACATAGTGGTAAATTTCAATAGTTAACTCTGTTTTATTTCCAATTCTTTTTCTTTCTTTGATTTATGTTCATAGTAATTTCATTGCTTTTTTACTTTTGTTACTTACAGTTGTTCATTGCAGTTTGCATTATTTATAATTGTATTGTACATCTCCATTTGACAAATTATATCCTCATTCTCACAAAATATGTAATAATTTTACTGCTTTCCTTTACTGCTTTATTATCTTGGTTTACTGTTAATTCAAAAACTAAAGTCAGCAACTTTCAGAAAATAACAAAAAAAGCAATCGATCTAACATCAAAGTCTTTTTCTCAAATCAAATCCCAAATTGAACGCAACGTCTAGCATAACCCCCACCACATCCAAACTATTTTCATAATCAACTTACAGCACTTGATTCAACGTAAAGTTGTTCATGCAAACTTTTTTGTCAATAATTTGAAAGACAAGACTGAGAGATGCACAAATCTTTAGCCCCTTTAATATTCGAGCGTTCGGAGCACTCCGAATTCTAAACGACTATTAGTCTTTCAAATAAAAGACCCATTTAGAATAAAGGGATAATAGAAGCACACTCATGTGAATCCCGAGTAAACGCGTGCTTAATGCACACCTCTGCTCAAATGTTTACTCACTTCCCGCAAAACAACTTAAACTTTTTTTAGAAATGAGTATGCTTTATCCATATTCATGTGAAAGAAACAAAGACGTCTGTCTCCAAGAGTGATCAGTAAGTAAAGGTTTAAAACACTCGATATGTCTAAAGGATCACTCCTTAAAAGCAGTCAACCTAGTAGTTCTTAGTAAGTAAAACTACATAGCTCTGATTTTCTCATTAGACCATGAAAATACGTAGGCACATGATTCTGATATCTTGGGGAGCACAATAATAATAAAAGCCCTAAGTATTTCCTTTCTTTCTTTCTCTTTTCAAACTCGATAAATAAAAGATCGCAAACTAATATGATGCTAACACTCTATCATGAAACTAACTAAATAGGTCTCATCGAGTAGAATGGATGTGAGAGGTGTTAATACCTTCCCTTTGCATAACTGACTCCCAAACCCGATTTGGTTGTGACGACCATTTCTTTTTTATTTTCGTGGGTTTTATCGATATTTCCTCTTTCCCTTTTTGGGAATAAATAAAGTTCGGTGGCGACTCTATTTTTTTTTTATATTTCAAGCGTTCCTTACACCCGGGTATTTTTCGCGCCACGACACCAACCTCAACCAGAATCCCCAAATGACCAAATTATACCAGACCTACACCTTGAACATCAAATTGAACCATCTCACTATCACCTTTCACCTTCTACGAAAGCAGATGATGTGTCAGAATCAGACACAATGCCTCTACCTAGCCCCTTTACACCTCACTATATTAAAAACCTAAACCTAAACCTTCCAAATCACATAAACTACCAAATGCAAGAATTTAAAATTGTTGTTTTTTATAGAGTTCAGAACTTGGTTGTTGAGAGGCTCACTGCATCTGATCCCATAGCATATGCAACTAAATGAGAGTCTTTCGTAACCTATATGGACACAATTATGCATAATCTTAAGTCTTTCTCATCCGAGACTATAACTTTTTCTAATTAGAAGCTTGACCACTTTGAGGGAAAGTTGACTTTAGTTGTTGCAAAACAAGAAGAGATGTATGTTTAGTTAATGACTATGATTCCAAGACAAGATGATATGGGTTTTGATCTGAAGGATATCCTAGAGCTTCTAAAGTAAAAACCTTAGGCTTTAGGATTTAGCAAACCCTTTTATTTTGTCTTTTCAACTATTTTGAACATGTTTTTTGAAAGTTGACTCTCTTCTTTGGTTAAATGCAACTTTTCTTCAGTATCTTTTCTATTTTCTTTATTTATTTTTGTTGATGAAAAAAGGGGAAGAAAATATAGAACTATTTAAGCACTTGAAATCTGACAATTATTATCTTTGCTTAAATTATGAAGTTTATCATTGTGCTTTATATGTTTAAATTTAATTAACCCAGATAAGACTTAGGGGGAGCTTACAAATCCCACCCTATAGATTGTTAGACTTAGGAGGAGCTTACAAACCTCAGACCCTGAATTCGACTGGTTAATTAAATTAACAATCATTGTTCTTATATACTTATGTTTGTCATGATCAATAAGGGGGAGATTATTGGAACAAAGTATTTAAAGAACAATCGGGTATACTAATATTTGTTCAAGTGTGCGGGACCATAGACTAAAATTTCATATAGAATTCAAGCATTGGTTCTGACTATGAGTATCTAAATATAGGCTTAAAGATCACAATCTGATGGATCCAAAGTTGAAGACCAGACTCTGAAGAAGTCAACTTCTGAAGATGTCAACGTTTGAAGGTCAGATTCTGAATGAGTCAATCTCTAAAGATCATAGTTTAAAGAAATATGCTTCTGATGATCAGAACCTGAGCCAGTCAAAGCGCTAGGACCAAAGTGACTTTGATAGGTCAGTGTTCATCTTTGAACCTACTTTGTCACGTGAAGACCTAAATCTCTATTTTTTCATAGAGTCCACTGGGATGCAACTGCTAGTTCCTTTTGTAGCAAATGGATTTCAAACTAGCCTTCACCAACCTTGACTATTTGGTGAAACATCCCAATGTCTCTTTTGAAGCTTCTCAAATACTCTACCATGTTGTTCTCCAACGACTATTTTTCTTCTCTATTTAAGGAGCTGAAGACTTGAAGAAAACTACCAATCCTATTGACATTAAAAAGAAAAGTTGTTATGTCAAAACAAAGGACAAGCAGAACTTAGAATTTCTTATCCTTGTATATTCTCGAAATCTCTAAGTCTCAAGTAGTTTATTTCAATTGTATTTTTTATACACCTTTGATTGTATATCAAGTGTATTTTCCTAAACAATCATTTATCTTTTAGGTAGATTTTAGAAGTCTCTTACTAAGTGTTTGAACATATGAAGTCTCTTACTATGTTTTTACTATAATACCCTTTGTGATTCTTTACGTTTTTGAAAATTGTGTGTTTTCTAGATTTTTGAAGAATTTCACGAGCTTTTACTGGATTTTTGGGGGATCTATGATTTTTTTACCGATTTTTAAAAAATTATTGGCTTTGAACTACTAGATTATTCAAATACACTATCAAAGTTTTCAAAATTTTATAAATTTTAATCAAAATTTTCAAATACACTACTAGATTTTTTAAAAAAGTATGAGTATTTATTGAATTTTTCAAAAAAAAAAATGATTTTTTACCGAACTTTTCAAAAAATCTTAGTTTTTGTTAGATTTAATATATATATATATATATATATATATATATATATATATATATATATATATATATATATATATATATATATATATATATATATATATATATATATATATATATATATATATATATATATATATATATATATATATATATATATATATATATATATATATATATATATATATATATATATATATATATGAGTTTTTACTAGATTTTTCAAAAATCTATGAGTTTTTATTTGATTTTTCGAAATACACCATCAATTTTTTCAAAAAAATCATTATTTGTTACCGAAATTTTCAAAATACAATATCAGAATTTTCAAAAATATACGAGATTTTACCAGATTTTTTTTTGAAAAATTCGATAATATATTGGATTTACCGAAAAATCAAAGTGTGAATTTCAGTTTTTTTTTCCGAAAAATTCGATACTATATTGGATTTACCGAAAAATTCGATACTTAATTTAAAAAAAAAATTAAAAAAAATACAAAACATACCGATTTTTTGTTTTCTGTTTTTAATTAAATTTTGACAAAAATATTTTTATCATTATGAAAATATGCGAGATACCATGTTAAACTTGAGTTGCAGGAACAAGTGAAGCTTCAGAAAGCCCATGTGCCGTCTTATTGGACTGGACTCGGGCTAAAGTAGAAGAAAATAACCAAACCCGGTCCAATAGAAAACAGCCACCAATAATAAACCAAACAAAAAAAACGCTAGGGTATTATTTTCGTTTCGCATTCTACTCCTCATTCTCATTCTCGTTTGTTCATTCCTTAGCGTTTTTTTGTTGAATCCAATCGAAGAAGATGGGAAAAAATATTGTGCCGGTGAAATCTGTTGTGTACGCTCTTTCTCCTTTCCAGCAGAAAATCATGAGCGGTTTGTGGAAGGATTTGCCAACCAAAATTCATCACAAGGTCTCCGAAAATTGGATCAGCGCTCTTCTCTTGGTTACTCCCGTCGTCGGCACTTACTCGTAATTTCTTCACCTCTCTTTTAGTTATATATGTATTTGATGCACTGATTTTTATTATTGTTGATGTTGTTGTTAGAAACAAGATATTTGATTTCGCGGTATTGATTTGTTCGGATCTTAATTATCTCATAGGAATTAGCCAGATCCAGATTGACTCTGCTATGGTTTGTATTTATGTTTTGATCTTACGGTTGAATTTGCTAAGAGAAAGGGAAAAAATCGTTTACAATATTCAATATTGTGAAATTATTCAGGTTTGATGCTTCCTATGAGGAACACCACCCTGCACAATTCCAAAACATTCAAGTAGACTGCTTATTGTTTTTATATTGGAATTTTAAGAGATTCTTCATAATGATATCATAATTCCTTACTTTCATCTTTTTCAACATTTATATGTGAAGCATTTGTTTCCTCTTGGTTATTTGAACTTATTCCTGATTACTCTGGTAAAAAAAGTAGGTGTTTCAATTTATTTATTTTTGAAAAGAAGTAACTCAAATCGTGGTTCAGTTGGGATTGTTAGAAGGTGAAGGTGCTGCTAGTTTAGATTTGCCGGTAGGCTAATTTTGATATGACTCAAATGCAGGGGATGAGAGTTTTAGCCTTGAGATTTGTGAATTGTGCCCAAGGGAGGAGAGAAAAGAGATCACACGCTGTTTAAAATTATATTTGATCCAAACCAATCAGCTTTATATAGCGATTGTGATTTTATTTTCTCATCTCGCCTTAACTCACTCTTCTTATTTGACATCTCCCCTATATATAAGAACATCAGAACTCATGAAAGTTAATCATTTATAGTACACAATATAGCAATTCATTCACAACACACAATTAATAGATATAGCGAAAATGGTGTCAAGACATATTCAGTACTTTGTGGGTGTTCTCCTAAGGGTGAAAGATAGTGTTTGTTTCGTCATTTTGGCCATGGCCCTGATTTTTTTCTTCTATATAATATATCATCACAATACCTCATTAAAATAGTTATTTGAGTGGTAAAAATAAGCATGCTCACACTTTTGTGTTGCACAAATATTGTGATAACTTTCATAATTACCACTAGTCCCATGGTATAAAGGTTGACCTCTTGAGATGCATTTCCGAATTTATTGAATAGTTGAATAGGTCATGTCAATTGTGTAGAGTCAAACTTATTTTGTATTAAACTAAATTATGTATTCACGGCATTTTGACATTAGTTGAATGAAATGTTAATAGGGAAAATGCTATGTTTTGACACGGACAAGAGATATATTGATGCGTTTTTATTGTGATTACAAGCTGTGTCTTATTTACCTGGTAGCGTTGTATTATGTATTCTGGGCATCTTAGCATAACATATCAATCTCTAGCAGGTGGTGGTTAACTTGTATGTATGCATGTTTAATGTCTATGAATGCAGGTATGCTATGCACTTCGTGGAACAGGAGAAGCTGCACCACAGGTACTGAGCTGCTCATGCGAGGATACATTGGATAATCTTCAAATTTCATGTTCTTAATTTTGTTCAGCTAGTCAATAATGTGACATTTGTGAAATTAGCTATGGCCATGTAGTTGTGATATTTTGAGCTTTAGCTGTTTCCACTATGAAGAATTTTATTGATAGCTTTCTTTGTTTTACATATCTACATGTTATTACAGAAGATAATCTATGTCTGTCAATAATCTTTATGACGAGTGCCAAAATAAGTTTATATGTCAACCACTGTAGTGATCTGTGATTTTATCAATTTAACAATTACTCTCTAATTTACAACCAAATTTTGATCAGTTTTATTAAATACATCTCCCCCACTTAAAAGGAAATTAGTGTGATTCTTTCAATACAAATTTTGATCAGTTTAATTAATTATGTGTATCTCCCCCCTAAAATGAAATTATTGTCGTTCTTGCAATACATAAACAACGTGAATGAATATTTACTTAAGAAGTTACAAATCACATTTTTGCAAAACTATGGAAGTTTACTATGATCTTGTCTAATTGTCAACGACACTAAACAAATACACGGGCAACAGCGATTGAATCATAAGGTGTCACCTTAAAATTGCCACAAATACTAATGTCTGATCCTTCAAGAAAGCAGAAATAAATACTTATGAAGATTGGTCAAATTTTTTTTTTCTAAGCATGTGTCATACGAGTTTGATATCAATTAAATTAGAGGTTTAAATGTTGCAATGCAACGCGCAATTAGCATGCTTGTTTTTTTTAAAATAATACATCTCTTACCAATTATATGTCTCATCGGTAATACTTTTTTTTTTTTTTGAAATAGTTCAATAAAACATATTTTTTATATAAACTGATTATCCCTTTTTCTTAAATAGTTCAATAAAATTATTTTTTATATAAACTTGTATACACTAATCATTGGAGCCGGGAGAATCACAATAAACAACACTCCTCTTTCAAGAAATTGCCCAAAAAAACTCTACATCTTATTTTATTGATTAATGTTTATTTTTTCAATCTACAATTTCAAATATTTTCTTCATCTCAAAATTGTTTCCTAAACTCATGATTTCTATTAATTTGAGAGTTTTTCTTTATGTAAATAAATAACCAAAAACATATTTTAAATGAAAAAGCATTTCTAAATTAAAAGGTAAGTCAAAGGGAGACATGTCTACTTGAGTTGGACTTGATCATATATTCCATTCTTAATTGTTTCAGTTGCGGCATGATTTTGTGCACTGCCTAATGACATATACAATGACATATACTGTTTGACAAAAAACCCTTCAAATTATTTTGATAAAATATGAAATATGAATGTAAAGTATAGTTATACTTATTATTTGGTTATACATATATGTGTGACGACCCCTAATACTATATAGTTTTCTGTAATACACTATACCGTAACATCAGTGATCAATGGAGGAAAATTCGAGTTTGAGTCCATTACTAGAGAACCAGAATCATGATATGAACTCTTTTAACTCGGTCACAACAACCTTCTTATCCAAGCTACCCGATAAGGTCCATTCTCTGGTCATCCACACTGACTCTTCCTTTCACTTTGATCCTCATTCCTCCATATCCACAACCTTAAGCCAAGGTCTCATTCTCTCTCTTTTTCTCTTATGAGCGTTAAAGAATACTATGAAATATACTGAATTTTTAATGACTCAACATTTATAGGAGAGAAAGAATACTATGAAAGACAATTTGCTACTCTGAAATCCTTTGAAGAAGTTGACTCGTTAGTAACATCGGACTCCGTTGATGAAGAAGAAGTAGAAAAACAGGCTCAACATGAACGCGCGATGAAGATTTCTAACTATGCAAATATAATATTATTGGTGTTGAAGGTGTTATATGATATATTCCATTAGATATCTTTATGTTAAATTCTTAATCAAGTTTCAAGGAACTTTTTTCTGACTAAAAACATTTAGATTTATGTGACAATAAGGACTGGTTCTATGGCTATTGCTGCTTCTACATTGGATTCTCTGCTTGATTTCATGGCTGGTGGCATACTTTGGTTCACTCACCTTTCAATGAAGAACATAAATATGTATAAATATCCTATTGGAAAGTTGAGAATGCAGCCTGTGGGAATAATCATCTTTGCAGCTGTCATGGCAACACTTGGTGTGTCCGATTCACTTTCTCTATATCACTTCCATTCAAACCTATCAAGCTCAAACACATCTAGGAGTAGGCACGGTGTCAGACACGTGTCAATATTCAACATTTGTATCACACTGGTACGACATGTGTCAGAAAAATTAGACAAACATCCCCTAAAATGTGTTTTTTCTTTGATTTGACACTTTTTGATTCAGTGTTTGGCACTCGTATGACACTCATAAAGCACGTGTCTGACAATTGTTTCAGTATCACACACATCTAAAAGGGTTAAACATGTATTAATACCATTTGGCTACAGGCTTTCAGGTGTTAATGACGGCTGTAGAACAACTGATAGAAAACAATCCTTCTGAGAAGATGTCTTATGATCAACTACTATGGTTATACTCAATTATGATATTTGCAACAGTGGTGAAGCTTGCACTATGGTTTTACTGCAGAACCTCAGGAAACAAGATTGTTCTTGCTTATGCAGATGTATGGTGGTCTTCTTTATGCATAAACTGCTATTGAATCAAAATAGTCTCTGTTGCCATCTCTCACCGATACTAAATATTTGCAGGATCATCACTTCGATGTTGTAACAAACGTGGTTGGACTAGTTGCAGCTGTTCTCGGTGATAAATTCTACTGGTGGATCGATCCTATTGGCGCTATTTTACTTGCAATCTACACTATTTTGAATTGGTCTGGCACTGTTATGGAAAATGCAGGTAGAAAGAAGAATAAATTTTTTGTTATATGCAAACAATGTTGTGTATCAATATTGATTCATGATGCATTCTTTTCTAATGCAGTTTCGCTAGTGGGAAAATCTGCGCCTCCTGAAGTTCTGCAGAAGCTGACATATCTTGTTGTAATGCACTCTCGAATTAAGCGCGTTGATACTGTTCGCGCTTACTCGTTTGGAGTTCTATACTTTGTCGAGGTATGTAGTGCTAGAGCATCATAGTTTGAGTCTGAATTGAGTTTCCTAATTCTATAGCATTCGATGCGAAAGATAAGAGGTAAGATGTTGCGATTTTGGTTAAATTGACAAACAGGTTGACATTGAGCTGCCGGAGGATTTACCATTAAAAGAAGCACATATCATTGGAGAGAGTCTGCAGATAAAGCTTGAGAAACTTCCGGAAGTTGAGCGGGCGTTTGTCCATCTTGACTTCGAATGCGAGCATAAACCAGAACACTTGGTTCTTAGTAAACTACCAGATAGTTAACCTTAAAAACAATTTGATTTGAGTTTGAAATCAATGTATGACAAGTGTGAATTTATGTACCTTAATACCATGAAATTTTAAGTATACAAAGGTTAATGAAAATATACATATTATTTCTAGGTTGTTAGTGTCTTAAATAACTAACTAGTGAGTTAGTTAGTTAAGTTGATGATGACTATTGCTTAACCAACAAGTTAAATATAGGTTGCTGTAAGTTCATTGGAAAACTAATTCCAACTGCACAATTTACAACATTTTCTTCTACCTTTCACCTTTCCATCATAGTGTGTGTTCATCATCTTACTTGCACAACAAGAAACACTAGTTGCGCTAATAATTGGCATCGAGATAATTGATTTCAATATTAGGGAAACACAAGAGACTTGTGAGGGGTTATATAATTGACAAACGCATAGTGAGGTGTGATTTTAGTGTTCTTGCTCAACAATTATAAATACAAATGATGGATTTACATCTAACATCTTGGTTTGATGAAAGAAATTTATAAATATGGAGTGTTTTAATGGTTATAAGGAACTGGGAGAAGAAACTACAGATATACACTTGGACACATTCAAAGATTTAAAGAAGAAGAACTACAAAGCTTTGTTCTGCATTAAACAAAATGTGGATGTTCATCATTTTTGAAAACATATCAAAGGTGACAAGATCAAAAAATTCATGGGATATACTAGAGAAGTACCATGATGGTGAGAAAAGGTGAATTAAGTAAATCTTCAATCATTAAGGAGAAGATATGATTCGATACAGATAGAAGAAAACCAAAAGATAAGTGATTATTTATTTAAATTGATTGTTCTGGTGGATAAAATAAAAACATGTGGTGAAGTCATTTATGATCAACAAAATGGTTTAAAAGGTGATGAGATCTTTGACTTTGAAGTTTGATTTTATGGTGGTGGAAATTGAAGAACTCAAACTTCATCTTCATCCATCCATCTTCATCTTCAATAAAGAAAACCTAGAAACTTCAAGCAAAAAAACATATCTTCATCGACTCAGATACAAAACCACCAAGAAACTTCACCATCAAACTCAGGAATAACCTGAAACCTTCATTCCTTAATCATATTATTTAAACCATCAAGAAAATTCATCATTAAACCTAGAAAAGCCTAACATCTTTTCCCAAATACCTAGAAATCGTCATCCAAAAATCACCCAGAAACCTCAAGAACATTCATAATCAAACCCAGAAAAACTCATATAAACCAATCACGAGCCTTCAATAACTTCAACCTCCTCAAAACTTTCATTAACAAACCCAAAAACGTCCAATCTGGCAAGACCTCAAAGATCGCTATCATTAGGGAGACATTTTTCGCATATCACATCTGTAAGAGGGAATATACACACTGCGTAAATGTGATCAATTCATCACTCACTTCTACACAAATTTGAAGAAAATATGGTAAGAACTAGAGAATTATCGCCCTCTTCTAACATGCTCATGCACCATCCCTTGTTCTTGCCAACTTCTACCTACTTTCAACTTTATCGTGACAATTACCACGTAGTCTGATTTCTCAAAGGCCTCAACGAGAAATATGCTTTTGTTCTTCTGCAAATTATGTTCTTATTATCACAAACCCGATATTACTATTGATGTATGCTTCAAAAAAACATTGTCTCCCACCTCACTTCAAAAGGATGAATATGGTGCAAACCTTAACTCCTGAAGATGTTCCAGCCAACAATAGTCCTACTCAAGTTGAAGATCACTCACCAACCAACAACTCTGCATTATATGTCACTGATGATCAACAGACATCCTTACTCGCTCTCATTCATCAAGGACCTTCTCAACAACAACAACTTTATCTTCACCAAACGCACAACATGTTGGTTGCATTTTCAGGTACTTCTCACATTAACTTCATTTCTTACCCACCCTTAAATAAATGGATTTTGGACACTGAGACCACATATCATGTGTGTCATTCCATTCAATCCTCCACTCAGCTCGTTCAGATTAAACATGTTTTCATCAGGCTTCCCAATGGAGCCTTTATTTCTACTTATTTTTATGGCTTTATTCATTACATTGATACCTTTTTACCTAATTGGTGGTTTATACATACCTGAAATTAAAACTAATATCATTTACATCCCTAAAATTACTAGTGTAAAACCTAAACAAAATCAGCTTACAAATCATTCCCATCATCTTCAACCTTTCTTCTATGTGTACACATAATCAAACTACACGTAACCATTTTTTGATTGGGCGGACATCTAGACTATGGTTGATACTTGATAACGTCCAATTAGGTTGGTGTAACCGAGAATATTGGGTTGGGATCTTTGTATGTTTCAAATAAAAAAAACCAAGGCGGGGTTTTCCTTCAAGATCATTGGGATTTAAAGGTTTTGGACAAGATCACGTCAACACGGATTCGACCGAGCGAAGACCTTGGGAGAAGGTCGTTTCCTTGCAAGTAGGGCTGGAAATGAGTCGAGTCGAGTCGAACTCACCTCAGCTCGGCTCGACTCGTTAAGAATTGTTCGAGTTCGAGTTCGACACAAACTTTTTTTTAAGCTCAAACTCGACTCGTTATAAGTTCACGAACAGTTCGGTTCAACTCGTTAGGTTCATCTGATTAGGTTCAGCTCACATGATTCACAGACTTAAAAACTATTTTTTTAAATATATATATTTTTTTAGTATATTTGACATTTTAAATAAATATATATTATTAAAATAAAATATTAAAATAAAATAAAAGTTATCATATTGAAATTTAACTTTATCTTTGAAATTTACTAATTTAAAACCTACACAACTTTCAAGAGATACATTTGAGAATCTAATTCAAAAACTACTAAATTGAAGATTAAATTTGTCTAAGATTTGGAGTAAATATTTAAACCTAATCTTAAAGACAGTATAATTCTTCTCATATGTAATCGAGTTGACTCATGAACCTAACGAGTCGAACTCTGTATAGTTTAAATTCAGCTCACTTAGTTAACGAACTTAATTTTTCGCTCATACTCAACTCATTTGGTTCATGAACCTAGTTCAACGATTTAATTGTCGAATCGAATTCCGAACTATTTTCGAGTTGGTTCGGTTCATTGTCAGCCCTACTTGCAAGGGATTAGTGTGAGACAGTGAATCGTGTTCGGGAATCTTGGGTTCAACAAGTGTGTGCTCGGAATAATCGATGGATTGTAGAAGCATTGTTGTTGACTTGATCAAGCTTTGATCAAGGGTTTAGAGGTGGTTTAATCAACAACAAACCATAAGGTTGGTGAGGTTAGAGTTATTCACCTCTTTTATAAATATTATTGCAAAGATAAGGTTAATTGCAAGTATCTTAACTCAATTTTGGATTGAGGGCATATGTACCCTTAGCGAGGCCGATTGGAACTTCCAAAAAAAATCTTTGCATATCTTTATCTCTTTATTGCTTTGTCCCTTTAATTGTTGTTCTTGCAAATTATCGATTTCATTGTTGTTTCGATTAATTCGATTGAAAATTGTTTTCAACTATCTTTCAAAGTGTTGTTGTTGATATAATCATAATCACTTTGATTGTGGTTTGCTTTTAACATCAATAAAACAAATCAAATTTCCAAACATTATCGATTACACACAAAGTGTTTGATAAATTGTCTTTGAGTATTTTTACCGCTTTATGTTCATTGAAAATATGTTTTACAAATAGTTTTGAATTTGATTGATTCGTGAATTAATCATTGATGAACAATTTGTGTTCATTATCATTGCATAGGTTTACGTTACACATATCTGAGCTTTTCGATAGTAGGTTCGGTTAGACGATTTGATTCGAGTTGTTTCCGCTGTGCCATAAATTTTTGAAAACAAATTTTTGCCAAAAGTTTTGGTTTTAAATTTGCGATCTATTCACCCTATCTCTAGATCGAAGTCTATCGTCTAATACGAATAAACACTTGATCAACATCGATTTTCTTTTCCGCTTATCTCAAACGCGTTGAAAATATTTTCTTAATAAAATCGGATGAAAAAGGATTGAGGCGGACGTAATATCTTCTCTTTTCCTCGAGTATTCGAGTGCTAGCCATAACTAGCTTTTGTTTGAATACTTGTCATACTTTCAAAAACACAATAAATTAACCAAGTTTAGTTTGGTTGTTATTAGAAGAAAAAGGATTGGAGCGGACATATTATTTTCTCTTCATTCCGAGTATTCAAGTGTTAGCCGTAATTAGCTTTTGTTTGAATACTTGTCTTTTGATAAAAGACTCACGACTTAATCCATTTCACAAATTTCATTCGTTTAAAATAAACTTAACCAATCAAACCTTTTTACTGCCTTAGAGTGATGTCAAAGTCCTTTTTTAAATGAAAGATGTTTCGTCTCGAGACGATGCAAAACAATGTGTCGTCTTTATATAAGCGAGTAAGATAGTGACGCTTTCCCGTGAATATTGATATGTTTATCTATTATGTTGTGATGCAAACATTCCATTCCTCCACTGTTTTGGGTACTAAGCAATGTTTTTTGTCTGATTGTAACAAAATAGGCTTTGCTAAAAATGACCAACAAACAAGCATTTTCTATCCAGAACTACGTAGCCTTGAGCTCTCCATCGCACCTGGAGATACGTAGAAGCGAGATTCAACGTCTCGTTAAACATCCTAATAAAAAACTTATTTTTAGTTCTTCTCTCTTTTCTCTGAAAAGTTTTAATAATTAGAAGAAAGCAAATAACAAAAACTAACATTCCAATCGTAAAGCTAACTAGATGGTTCTCGTTGAGTACAACGGATGTGAGGGGTGCTAATATCTTCTCATCGCATAATCAACTCTCGACCCCGATTTTGATTGCGACGACCATTTTCTTTTTCTTTGAGATTTATTGATATGTTCTCTTTCTTTTTGCAATAAATAAAGTTCGATAGTGACTCTGTTAATCGTCCTACGAGAGTGTGATGCGCTCGTGGTTGTTTTTTCGCGCCACTACAATAGGTATCAAAGATACCAAAATTG